GCGCCCCGCCTCAGTCCATCGTGGTGGCCTGGAAGAGCTCCACCAGGTCCTTGTACTCGGGGTCGATGAGGTCCGAGGGCTTCTCTCCGGCGTCGGTGGTGGCCTCCAGGCTGGCCCCGAGGGAGAGGAGGTACCTGCAGGAGAAGGGGCTGAGCCGGCGGGGCCCGGGCAAACCCCGCCAGCTCGCGGGGCTGCCCCTGAGCCAATCACCGTGCCCCGGGCACAGCTGCAGGCAGCTTCAAGGCCCGGGCAGGCCCGCAGGTACCGGGCACCCTCCTAGAAGGAGGCACCCGGAGCCGACTCCAGCCCAGTACTTCTCGGGGCTCTGCCACACAGGGGTGTCCTGCCGCAGCCCGGACAAGGTGCTCCTCACCTGGCGATGTCAGCGTAGCCGTCGCTGCAGGCCATGTGCAGTGGCGTCCAGCCATTCTCGTCTTTCTGGTGGATGTCAGCGCCATATTTCACCAGGAGCTTGACGCAGTCCAGGTTTCCAGTAAGCACAGCTTCGTGGAGGGCTGCCATGCCTAGAAGGAAAGGATTTGTCAGCCCTGGACTGGGGAAGGAGTCTTAATGCTGAGCTTACAAGTGCAGGTTATCCACAGCCCAGGAAGGAGGGGCACCAGCAAACCCTCATTATCAGGGAGATGAGTTTGGGGAAAGAAACAAAGACTGAGGAAGCAGGAGGAGCTGCCACAGGTTTCTGTTCCCCTTCTACAGCGTAACTACCCTATCTAAGATGGCGTAGCACCCACCTCCCCACCGGGCCAGCAGAACAGGTTAAGGCAGAGGAGCCACCCTCTCCTGCAGAGCTCCTGGCCAGCCGCCTGACCCGAGTCCTGCCCAGGACTCACCTGGGGACACGAGAAGAGTGTCTCCAGGGTCCTGCTCTGTCCAAGTTTCAGAAGCTCCTTACAGAGTGAGAAATGAAGCAATCAGTGTGGACAGGAGGAAGCCCAGGGTCATCTGAGACCCTGTCTCCGTGGCCATGTGACAGCAGAAGCTGAAGCCAAGCACAAGAAAGGGACAACTCTGGGCTCTGCACCAGCCCGTGGGGATCAAGGCATTCCATAAACAGTTGCTAGTGAGGCTGGGTGCAAACACAACACAATGCCTCCCCCACACACAGACATGCCGCAAGTCCACGGATCCAGACGTGCCAGAGAGAGCAGCGTTTGAGAGAAATGGACAGAGCCAGGAACAAAACGCGGAGCCTTGCTTCTCCCTGCTGTTTCCCCAAACCGGGGCGGGAGGCAGGAGCCCCCCTGTCCTGCCCAGAGCTCCACAGACCATCCTGTGCTCACTGTTGTGTTTCCAGGTCCCATCACACAGCAGGGGCACTGTTGTGCCTCGAAGGGGCTCGGGGGCAAGGTGCTCCCCTTCGCGCAGCGTATGCTGACCACGCTGTTGAGGGGAGATGTTGGAGTGCTGGCGCAGGGCTCTCTTGGACCCTGCTTGGCAATGCTGGGGGCACTGCTTCTCACCAGGGAAGAAAACGACTCGATTCCAAGCTGTCACCCTGCCGAAGGTGGCCCACATCCTAGCTTTGGCCGCTCGGCTCGCTCTCGTCTCCCTCGCGGCCCAGCTGAGCTGTGCCGCCATGCCGACTCAAGCTCTGCCAACCCCGGCAGCACTCACCAGAAGGGTAGATGGTGTCCAGTGTCACCTTCCTGGCACGTATGAACCTGCCCACCTGCTCCAGGTCCCCCTGCCTGATGTGGTCCTGAAAGACGACGTCATTGGGGAAGCGCACGGTGCGCGAGGCTCGCAGTCTCTGGGCATACCGACTGTACCGGGGCATTGGGGCTGGGTAATAGTCCTTCATGCTGATCGCAGCCTTCAGGGGCAGCCAAGGAAGAGGAGGAGCAGAGGCATGGGGGGCTGTAGGAGCAGCCGGAGTTGCTTAGTGCTTGGCCCTACCACTCGCTGGACTCGAAGCGCTGCTTTCTCCTCTTCTGCCCGTCAGGTCTCTCCTCGCCTCGGAGGTGCGATGGCACCCACACTGCTGCGCTCCCTCCGCACTCGTGTCCCCGTGGGTGCGAGTCCCCCGGCACTGGCAACGAAACGGCAGGCGCCGGATACAAAAAAGGCAGCCGCTGGCTCTCCCTACGCTCCCATGCTGCACGCAGGACGTGGCGCTGGGCACCCGCAGCTCGCCTGCAGGCCCTTGGCCCAGGACTGGTGGTTCTCCAGGGGTGTCGCGTTATATAGGCTCCCGTGGGCTATTTTGAGGACATGCAGCTCATGCTATTTGCCATGATACTTCGTAATCGAGCTGCCCAGGCCTGCAGCCTCCCACTTTTGGGCAGAAGTTGGTGTCTCATCTTACCACCCACCTGTTGATGTGCCCATCTGAGGGGTCAAATCTACTCTTGCTTTTGCATGGATAGCCCTTCAGAGGAGCCCAAGGGCCTGAAAGCAGAACTTCCCAGCAGCCAGCCCTCACACACGCACGTGTCAGGGAAAAGACACACGCACGATCACCAAGTGAGGGGAACCAGGCACTGCCCTGACCAGCCAGCACAGTGCAGACATGTCAGAGCCATGGTGCCAAATACGTTCAGAGCTCAGTCCCTCTCCTGTAGTTGCATCAGACACCCTGAAAGGAGCTGTGCTGCCTGGCATGGCTGCGATGCAGCGCACAGCTGAGCGCTGAGGACACCGCCAGCAAGCTGGGAATCGCCTGTGCCCTTGCGAGGACAGAGGTGCTGCTGGTGCTCTTGATGCAGCCACAGAGCCAGGAGCCTACAGTGCCAGTCCAGGGTGTTCAAGGTCCTACTTCAAACCTGGCACCAGCTGCAACATCAGGGCAGGCTTCTACAGAAGCACCTCAGCGCCGCTGAAGAGCAGCGCCACCACCAGACGGTTCCTGCACTCGTTACTCGCCAGCTGCAGCTGTCAAAGGCCCAAAACAGACCAGCCACCACAGAGGAGTATTTCAGGTCCAGCAAGGGTTCAAGCAACAACAGCTCCTCTGTGCTTTTTCCCCATCAGTCTGGTCATTTCAGATACACGAGCATACTGCGCTCTGTTTCATGCTGATGGGGTTTGTCCAGGCTGCTGTGTCAGGAAAAATCCCTGTCCCGCATTAGGAGTCACAGAGATTTCATTCTGGCCCTGCTGCAGCAGACCCTTGTCCTGAACCCCTGCCAGCAGCAAGGCTGACAGCTCCATCAGCCGCACACCTGAGAACCACTGCTCTTGTTTATCTTCTGGCAGATGCACCAATCTTTTTGCCGAGCACCTCTGCTCATGGTGACATCAGGCAGGACGCCATGCAATAGGAGGCTGAGCTATCTGCTGTGGAGACAACGTTTTTAGCCCGCTTGCTTGGAACAGCAATTAGCTGTGTACACAGGATGACTCTGATGGAGTCCTGCTCCGCCAAGAGGAGCCTTGGTGTAGGAGACAGGCCCCCCATCCTCTGAGCTGGTCTCAGACCATGAACAGGAGAACCCCTGCAGAGCTCAGCCTTGTTCACACTTTAACTGGCTCCACAAAATGGACCTTTCTGAGCCAAGTCCTAGCCAGCACCTTCCAGTGGAACTACTTGCTGGCAGTGCTCTCCTCCGCCCCACCCCAAACACAAGGCGCACAAGGTCACAGCCCTGGGGAGGCATCTTCAAAGATCCTTCTCAGGCAGCCGCACGTAACCGCCACAAACACGGCTGACAGGCAGCAGAGAGCACCATTTTCTGATCCCCAGACAGCGGTTGCCTGTTCAGCCCCAGCCCTGGCACCACCCTGCCAAAGGTTCCTGCACACCCAGCTGGGGCTCTGCTCCCGGGGAAGCCACAGCAGGACGCTGGCACTGCAGACAAGCGCTGTACAGCGCTCCTGTTGCACCACCCCAGTGCACCCACGTGCAGTGATGGGCAGCCATAGCCTCCCGAGCTGCCCTCTAGCTTCACCATGCCCCCCATGTGACATTTATAGCATGTTTTCTTACAAAAATACTTCCAGCAGTAAGCAACTGGTTTGGAAATAGCAATGTAGCTCACTGGGTCATGTGAGCCTGACTCGCAGAGCTACAGGCAGCCCCAGGTTTCCCGGTAGGCAAATTCCTCCGTTAACTGCTCAGGAGCACTGAGGCCCTCTCACCTCAAGCCAGCTGGCAAGCAGAGCCGCTTATTCTCAGAGCCCCATGTCCCCTCACTGCAGACAGAGCTGTGAGCGCTCTGCCCGCCCAAGCTGATTTGATCTGGACAGGACATGGTCACCTCGAAGTTCTTTTCCTCACAACACAAGTTTCTTCAGGTTAAGGTACTAGAAGCCACCTGCAAAACTGGAAGCATCCAGAGTGTAGTTTCTCTCAAAAATGTGGTATTTAGTCAAAGTTTAAGAAAGCTGACAAACGCCATTTTGACAGAGTCCCTTGAGAATCACCCTAGAACTCTGATCTTCCAGGTCAGGTTCAAATATATTCATTCTATATCCCAATCAAGACAAAAAGACAGTGTAGTATTAAAATCTCAACTTTATTTGGCCAACAAATTCAGTTCCAATGTTACTGTAGCGGAATGCTAAGGACCAGCCTGACGCAGCTCAGGCCTTTGAGGCACTCCCCTATTCAAGTTCCTCCCCAAAACCCAGTAATTGCAAGTGTCCTGTTTGATCTATTTTATCAGGCCCCCCCACACCATCCACCTGCCTGGTCAACCCATTCAAAATAATGCATGGAAAGTGATTGCAGAACAGTCCTGCACTCGATCAGAAGGATGGCAACGCAGCTAGGTCTCATCTAAGCTGGTAAGCCAGCGACCACCTCCACCCCCAGAGCCTGCCACAGCCAGTGCACACAGTATTCCACCCTTCCAGGTGTTTGGAGGAGTCATCTCCAAGTGTCTTAAAGCAGAGGGAAAGGAAACATCTGGCCCACATGAGGAGAAGCACCTTCATACACACCTTTCACCAGGATGCCATCAGCCTACTGCCTCTTCCCCTGCATATACCAAAGGCTGACTGCAGGGAAGAACAGCTGAGCCCATTAAGGACCCTGCCAGGTGCAGAAATCAACTACAGACTGTAATTTTAAAAGAAAAAAGGAAAAAAGCAGCTTTCTTGGAAGATGTTAGTGGCAAGGCTCCAGAGTGTTGGGCCACCGAACTCATGCTACTGCTCCACAATCTGCTTCTACCCAGAAGAACAGAATACTTCAAACAAAAGCTGTGTACAAAAAAAGTACATCACAATAAAAAAAGAAAAGCCCAGCTGGCTGGGCTGGCTACCTAGTGACAGATCCCTTCTCGAAAGCGGAAAGAAAGAAAAGACAGTCAAGTGTACAGACAAGTGAGGGTAAAGTGTTACTTTAAAAGCCAATCCCTGGATTTCCAGTCATTCACCTTCTGCTTTAAATCTTAATGGGTTTCTGCCTCACTGGGCTGCATAACAGCAGCCAATTTAGTGTCTGATTTTTTGGGTGACGTAGATCAGTCTTCTCTTTACAATTCATCCTTTTGGATTTTCTGCTCATCATCATCACCTTCCTCAAGGTCTGTTTCTTCATCTGTCTCCACATCCTCCAGATCCTGTAGAGGTTACAAGAGACAGCTATGGGTTTCTGGCACATGAGGCAGACCCAAAACCAAGCACAGAACAGCACCTCTGATCTGCTCACTACTCTCCATGGCCACGTTATCAGAACATCAAGACTTCTACCGAGAGCTCTGAATTCAGGATATTAAGGATTAGAAACCCCCAGAAGCTGGTACCTGCACCTGTAACACACTCCCACCCCCAGCAGGTGAAGAGCTTCCAACTAGATATACTGCATGTGATGTTCATCATGCCAGTCATATTCCAGGCACTGAGCAGGAATTCTACACTAAGGACAAGCCCTCTAAGTACTCCAGCAGTTTGCACAACCACCAGAGACAGCTTGTGCTAATTGAGAGGTTATAATACCAACAGTTTCCAGGCATTTGTGTTTAAGCCTCCCAAGAACTGAGGTGTTCTCAATAAAACGAGTCCATTACAGGCCAATGGCCAGCCAGGTGCCACTGAACAGGTCGTATTTTATGATGTGGGCACTTTTGCTTACCAACTATGTCCTTTCCTGCCATGTAACAATAAATGACGGCCCACAGTACGGTATCAATATTACTCACATCATCAGCTGCTGCCCCATCCTGACCTCCGCTCTCCAAGAATTTTTTGAAGCCTTCTAGTGTCCTCTCCCCATTATAGTCAATTACCTACACAGGAAAAAACACCAAGATAATGGTTATGGGCACCTACAGAACCACGCCCCTGGAGAGGAGAATTCTTTCTGAGCAACAGTTAACATGCCAAGCAAAAGGGAATTTAAAAATTCACCTTCACCCATATGAGACGAAGGAAAACAGCTCAGCCACTAGACTTCAGAGATCACTGCGAGGAAAGAATAGCCTACAGATGAGCACACTGTCCTCCGCTATGCTCCCTCTCTCCCCATTCCCACTTCCCACCCCCACCAAACTCTTTCCTACAGCCCAGCCCCCCACACAGGGTCTTGGATGTCCTGTAGACTTGATGTGTTCATCCCTACAGAATGGAGAGCCCTCCCAAAGGCCTCGTCCAAAACGGAACCCAAGCAGGCAGCTACACATCCCAAGGGCTCCCTTGGTGAGTGATCTGTGCCATGGCCAGCTGCCCCCTTACATTTCTGCCAGAGCCTGCCGGGAAGAACTTGAGTGTGGGGAAGCTGTGGATTTTCACTGCCTCTACTTCATTGGCCGTCGAATCCATCTTGGCAATGACAATGTTCTCATGGTCCCTGTAGGTCTCTCCCAGCTTGTCCCAGATAGGAGCCAGCTGCTTACAGTGACCACACCAGGGGGCATCTGT